CAGCAGGATTAGGGTAGGGCACCAATTTTGGTACTTTCAGCTCCACCGAAGTTCAGGCTGATTCTGGCCCCTGGTTGTGGGGTTAGGGCTTGAGTTGTTTGTTCAGCTGACAGCAGTCTGGGTGTCTCTTGCCATCCTAACCTCGTCTTCCTGACCCTGAGTGCCTCCTGGGGTTGTGGCTTACCTCCGCTCTGGGAGCCAACCCTCGGCTGCTTGGAGTCCCAGGTTCAGTGGGCCACTCCTTCAAATGGCATCTGGTCAAGCTCCCTCTCCGGGGGAAGCTTGGACTGGAGTCACTCACCAGCTGTTGGAGTTCACAGCGTCCACTGCTCTGTTCTGCTCACGTGTTTTTCTCTGAAGGCCTCTGGGGTTCCCCACCTTCGTTGTGTCTCTGTAGATGTGAGCCTCCCCCCTCACACTGCGAGCCCAGAGTCAGGGAGAAGGTGCGGGTTGCCACTTCCCTTTTCTGCATTGAGGTCTGTTTGCTTTCCCTGTGGGCTCCAATTCTCCCTTCAGATCCTTCCTGGTTCCGGGGTATCCACCTCCCTCCGTTTCTTGCTCAAGTTGGTATATTCCAGTGTCTGGATTTTGAGTCTTAGGGAAGCTGTCCCATTGTTGCTGACTGCTCTGCCATCTTCCTGGAAGTCTCTAACATATGTTCTTATGAACTTTAATTGACTTTTTAGTTTAAAATGTTCCATTTTTGAGTTTTTACTTTAGAACCCTGTAAACTAATTTTTCCATATTTTTTTGAAATTAATAGCCCACAATTCATAGTGATTGGTACTGTATAGAAAAAAAAAAAAGAAAAAACCTCAGCGAAGTGAATTAGAAGTCACTTAGGAATATATAAATCACTTAGAAATAGCTCCTTAAAATTCATGTAATTATAGTATTGAAGCTCATGTTATTTATTGAGGTAAACTACTTACCTGGAGGACGGTGTGGGGGACAGTAGATTGAGACATGCCCAAATGCATATATGTGTACTTGCTTGCCCGTGGGAAGCCATGGAAGCTGTTGGCCGCTGTGGCAGTGCATGCAGTAACTAACGACGTGGGACAGGCCCTGGGAGTGTAGCGGGCAGTGGTGAGCTGTGGCGTAGGGTTAGGGTAGCTGGTGAGGCCAGCACTGTTTGAGGCCACAGAGGCAGACTGCTGTAGGGTGGGTAGACTAGCTCCTGTGGAAGTTGGGGCAGGGAAGGGCAGTGTAATATGCTGGGGCTGAGAAAGGGGAGTCCCTGGGGAGAGAGCACTTTGGTACACGTTGCACGTTCTGGCTCTTCAGAGATGGTCACATCTTCAGCAGGGTGGAGGTTGGTTAAAATGCAGGCCACTCAGCATCGTCACAGTTGCCCAAGACTGTCTCCAGGGAGGGACCTAGTGCTAGCCCTAATGTAGAGAGTGTGATGGAGTGGAAAGGCTGCTACCCAGGGTCTGTACCTGTGCTTGAAGCATGGCTCTTCTTGCCTGAGACTTCCTCAAGCATTGCTAGGATATGCAGGAGCAGGAAGTGAGTCTTGGCTCCTCGTGGCTGGCCAGAGAGAAAGCAGAGGGATGGTAGTGGCGTGATTTGGCCCTCTCTTTGTTGCTTTGCCTGCTGTCTCCATTTGAGCAAATTGTGGATAAATCACCATTTTCTATAGACAGTTCCAACAAATGTCTGAGTAATGTGCATGTAGATACCCCCAAAACATATTAATCTGATAATTTGATTGAAAAGTATGTAAAAAGAGGATAGATGTGAGGCAGAGCAATAAGAGAATAAGGTGAGGAAGTGAAGACATGAGAGTCAAGTTCTGTTTAAAAATTTTGAGGCAGGAGATGTGGCAGGATTTTTGTTAATGAAAAAATAAGTATTTTCTTTTGCCAAACACATTCAGGGGTGAAGAGGTCATTGTTTGTTTTTTAAGAGGTCATAGTTTTTATACAGATGTAGCAAATGAGAATAGATTGTTTTTACTTTTTGGTAGTATCCTAGAGTGAATTTTCTTTAATATCAGCAATTTACTAACAATCTAGCAGTTTATTTTCTTCAGTTATTATACAATATTACTTTAAAGTCATATAGGTTAAAATCATTATCAGACTGCTCAAATTATTTCATTCATTCTAGTCTTCAGTATAGTAGGGTTAGTTAGGGTCAGTTAACAACCAAATTTTAATGGAGTTTGAACAATATTTAGAAGAAATTCAGATGGAAAGAAGTAGTGCTGTGTTTTCTTATTTGAGTCTCATTGACTCATTCTCATAAACTCAGTTTTTTCATGTTTGGACCTTCATTTAGAGGATTATTTAAATAAACAGTTGTATTATGGAACTGCAAATTTGTACTGAGTCAACAGCTGCTGCTGATTGGGCTAATTATTGAGTACTTGCTCAGTGCTGCTGTATCCATGTCTTCTGTGCATCAGCCCTGTGAGGGTGAGTGGGCGTGATGTCCCTGTGTGGAGACTGGGAGCAGGGCACGCCCAAGTTCATGCAGCCTGTTATTGGCAGACTGGACTCTAGAACATCTAGAGCAGCAGCATTCAATGAGAATGGGGTAGTGGCAACATATTCTAGTAGCCACATTAAAGTGCAGAATCACCAAAAAACAACCGCACCAAACAGGTGAAATAAATTTATTAAAATAGACCAAATATGATCAGTTAAAATCTTAAGGATTACTAAGTTGTTTGGCAGCCTTTGATTCAGTTTTTGCGCTGAGTCTGAAGTCTTACGTGTTTTGCACTTGCTAACACAGCTAGCTGGGCAGTCTGATCTGCTCTGCCTGTAATGCAAATTAAATGGATGATGTGCTGTCTCCATCTAAAAACTTATCAGCTATCATATTGTCTTAATTTGATCTGTTAAATTGTAATCTTACCTTGAGTTATTTTCTGATCTTTTAAATTATTTCTTTGTGGTGTTAGAGATTGGACCTAGGGCCTCACCCATGTGAGGCAAGCGCCCTACCACTGAGCTACCCCTGAAGCCCTTTCCTGACCCTTTTGTGGTGTTAAAGTCATTCTGCTTCTTTGATGTTTTCACAGAACAGATCAAGTGGCAATTGCCCAATAGTCACTTGGACACAGAATTCACTTGGCTTAACAATTCTAAAATTTATATGGAACTAGAGACCCAGAATAGCCAAAGCAAGTCTGAGCAACAAGAGCAAAGCAGGAGGGATTAGTCTTGGACTTCAAGTTATACTACAAAGCTACAGTAATAGCATAGCACTGTCACAAAAACAGACACAGTGAACAACAGAATAGAATAAAGGATGCAGAGACAACCCGAAACATCTTCAGTCATCTAATTTTTGACCAAGGGGCCAACAACATATGCTGGAGAAAAGATAACCTCTTTAACAAATAGTGCTAAGAAAACTAGTTATCCACATGCAGAAGAATGAACTAGATCCTTATCTTTCATCTTGTATAAAAATCAAATTGAAACAGATCGAAGACCTAGATATAGAAACAGAAGCACTAAATCTGCTGGAAAATAAAATAAGTAAAACTATTGATGACATAGGAATAGGCAAGGACTTCCTGAACAGAGCTCCATTTCATAAGACATAACACCAAGAATCAACAAATGGGAGTATATCAAATTAGAAACTTCTGCACAGCAAAGGAAGTGACCAACAGAATGAATGGTGAAAAAATTGTGGCCACTTACTCCTCAGAGAGATGATTTATGTCTAGAATATATAAAGAACTAAAAAAAAAAATTAGACCCCCCCCCTTAAATAAAATACCTAGTCAAAAACTTGGCCATCAAAATGAATAGATGCTTCTCAGAGGAAAAAGTACAAATGGCCAATAAATTTATGAAAAAGCATTCAGTATCTTTGGCCATTATACAAATGCAAATCAAAACAATAGAAATTCCATCTACACTTGATCTTAGCCAAAAGGCCGAGAAGCGATTAGAAATTCCATCTTACTCCAGTCAGAATGGATTAAAGGAGTCAAAAATCAAATGCTGGTTAGTTTGTAGGAGTTGGGGTGGTGGTGGTGGGAATGTAAACTAGTATAACTACTATGACAATTAGTATTTCTAAAAATAGAAATTCTGTTTGACCCAGATGTACCTCTTCTAGTTATCTTCACAAAAGAGCTAAAGTTGTCATATTATAGTGATACCTGTGTACCCATATTTATAGCAGCACAACTCACAATAGTTATTAAATCATGGAAGCAGCCTATATGTCCATCAACAGATGAATCGATGAAGAAAATACGGTATTTATTTATATTTATCTATATCTATATTCATCCATAAAGAAGGATAAATTTGAGTCACTTGTAGGAAACTAGATGGCTTTTGAGACCATACTAATTGAAATAAATCAGATCTAGAAGGCTAAATACTACATGATTGCTCCAGTGTGACAGATCTAAAATACAAATAATTTAAAGAGCAAAAAAAGAGAGTTGATAGGAAACAAGGAGGTACTCTCTGGAGATGGGAAGAGGATCTGGGAAAGGAAGGATAGGGGAGGGCAGGAGGAAGGAAGGGGGTAAAAATGATCAAGATGCAATATGTGTATATACCAGTTCCCCAAGATGAGAGCAGTTACTAAGTATTACAAATATATACTAATAAAAATTTTAAAGAAATTTGTGGTCTAGCTGGGCATGGTAGCACATGCCTGTAATCCCAGCACTCAAGAGGCTGAGGCAGGAGGATCGCCATGAGTTTGAGTTTGAGGTTAGCCTGGGTTACATAGTGAGTTCAAGGCCAGCCTGAAATATATAATGAAATGCTGCCAAAAAATAAAAAAATAAAGTATGTGGTGTTCTCTCATCCTTTCCCTAGTGTCTTTTCTTTTAATAATGAAATTGTGTCTACATTGAAATTTGGACATAGTGATGAGTTTTTGAGAGGTAAAAATAATATTTGTTCCGGAGGAAAGCATCACTTGTATATTAGTTGTTCATGATCTTAGTTCTTTTAAGGAGTAGTGGTTGGGACTTGTCTTTGCCTCTCATTGCCTCATTTCCTTCCCAGAACCTCATCTGTTCTGAGTGTGGGGATGAGTTCACATTGCAGAGCCAACTGGCCATACACATGGAGGAGCACCGACAGGAGCTGGCCGGTAAGCGTGTCCACACCTGCAAGGCTTGCAAGCAACAGTTTGAGACCTCGTCAGAGCTGAAGGAGCACATGAAGACTCACTATAAAGTTAGGTATGGGTCATTCATTAAGCTTGGTAAAAATTCTGTGTAGGATGTGAAAAATTAGTGTGCCATTGTGACTGATTGAAAATATTTACCAGTGAAGAAAGAAAGTCAGCATTTGGGACCACATAGCCTGTAGGCATCAGACTGCCAATCCTAATGTGTTGTTCAGGTCCACACTAGGGCAGGTCAGTGCAGAGATTAGTGGGAGGGGCCAGGCCTTGTAGAAATGTTTGGCCAGAATTACAATGTAAAAGTGACAGAACAAGGTTCTGGCACTGTATTTTTATGGGCACTTACCAAAATTTGTAAAGTGGATTTATAAGTGCCTAATTTGCCACCTTTTTAATGAGTCAGCCTATGTATATATAACAAACTATTGAGCATGCCTATGTGCCTGGCACTCTTTGTAGCATTTATACAAAAATATGTATAAATAGAATCATTAGATAACTGCAAACAACCCCATCAGGTCAGGTTGATTTTATTTTATTTTATTTTTTGGTGGGGAGTGGGTTGAGAACAGGTCTCTACGTATTCAAGGCTGCTTTGAACTCACTGTGTAGCCCAGGCTGGCCTTGAATTTGTGATGATCCTCCCACCTCCGATTTCCCAGTGCTGGGATTACAAGTGTGCACCACCATGCCTGGTGGTGCACCATGGCTCAGCTTACTTTTATATCCCCATTTTGCAGATGAGAAAACCTCAGTTAGACAGACCAGTTAACATTCATGAGGTTTCATAGCTGGTAAGTTAAGAATTAGAGATTTAAACCCTGGCTTAATAGTCTACTTTTAGAGTTTAGAATCCTATCAACCATGCCTGTATTTGGATTCTTACATACATTTATTTCTAGTGAAATTTAACACTTTTCAGAATTTTCACATTTTATCTACTCCTGATTATATATTTTTGCTGTACTTCTGTTTCTTAATAAAATGAAGTGAAGATCTCTTTCTGGCCCTCGTGGTATAGTTAGTTCATGTTAATCAGTTGTTACCTTTTTAAAACTAATTTCTCACACAGAGTATAAGAGGCAGTCCCAATTATTGGTTTAACTACTATCAGTTTAGCCTCAGTGATTAGGAAATATCTACGTTTTTAACAAGAAGTTCCACACTGATGTATTCATAAAGTATATGAAATGTCTAAACTCTGTGTAGTATGTATTCTCTTAAATGCTGCAAATTAGAAATGTGGCCTGAACATCTCCATCTGGTCACCCACCTCTTGTGTTTCCTTTTCATTTTGTTATTGTTGACTAATTTGTTATTCCCTAATACTCTATTATTTCAGCGATTTTTTACATCAAAAATAAATGCATCTTCTCTGTACACATTAGGTTTTTATTCTGGTGAGGCTTTGAAACTGACATTTTTGATGTTCCTTGAAGGTTTTAAAGATAATTGGAGATATTTAGGTCATTACACATATAGCCAGCCTTGACTTCTAAATCTTTCTGGATTAAGGGATGAATCAGACAGATGAGGCTGCATCCACACGGACTTGGCATTTAGGACCAAGTCAATAGTCAGGGTGACAGTTGCTGTCACGGCAGTCAGGAGTGAGGCAGCTCTTTCACGCGGGCCTTCCTAAGCAGGGAGGAAACCAGGCAAAAAAAAAGAAAGAGCAGGCCCAGGTGAAGGGCAGCTAGGTTCAGGGAGAGTAGATGTCTGAATCTCAGCACTGAGCTTCCTGTGTTTGAGAATCAGAAAGGAGGGCAGTATGATGAGCGCCCTCTGCAGGGAAGTGCGGGGCTGAGCCTGACCAGGCTTGAGGATGACTGGCTGCCTGGGGGCCAGAAGGTAGCAGGGGGACCCTTCCAGAGGCTTTTGGAGAAGCACCATGGAAGGACGGTGCTGTTCCATGACCACGTTGAGGGCCAGAAGTATAGAGAGATGTGACAGTCTTAACTATCGCATGGTTTCTCTTATATGAGAAATTATAAATTATAAATAAGGAGCAAAATAAAAGATAATATAAGGAAGGAGGGAGATAGATCTTTCTCAAAGGGGAAAGGGACCAAGAGATGGAGGGAGGGAGAGGGAGGTAAGAGAAAGAGGCTGAGAAAAGATTAAGATTAGGAAGAAATTAAGATTAGAAATTAAGTAATTAGGAAGGGGCAGCACAAGGAAGGGAAAATTTCCTTAACCCCGTCCTTCATTAGCTTTAAAAGCAATGAGCTTCTCATATCCACAGTTGCAGATGAGGGGACATTCGAAGGATAGAAATTTAACCCCAAATGAATGTCCACACGTTTATTGACCACACTTTTACCCCTTATTTCATAACAAAATGTTGGTAATCTGGCTGAATTTATGAAATCTAAGTGTAATTATTGTATACTGGAGCACTTAAAAAACTTGAATGATGTATGTTGGGGTGTTTAAGAGTAAAACTAGCAGCTTTTGGAAGTGAACTTGAAGAATCCAGCATGATCCCTGAGATTTAAAGCTGTACTTTTGGGAGTCTGCATTTCCTGACATGGAAGGAACAGCTTGGGATAATGCAGAGCTCTGTTTTGGATGTGTTAGGTTGGTGCCTCCAGCCAGCCAACCACCTGTGAGGCAAAGTCAAGTAGAGTCAGCAGTGCAGGGCTGAAGCTCAGAGGAAATTTCTAGGTTGTGGGAGGCAGAAATTTGGAAATCATCAGCATCCAGTTGGCTATTGAAAGCAAGGAGACCGTAGGAAGTAACATGAAGATAGTGTCAATGTAGAAATACACCTGCATATGTTTCTGTATTTGACCATGACAGGTTAAAGCTTGATCTAGAAGGGATATTTTGTCCCTTTCTTCCCAAATCCGTGTTTTGACCTGTTTTTTTTTTTTTTTAACAGATTTTTCTTTTCATCAGTAGAAAAAAATGGAATTTTTAGGGCCGGGGATTTAGCTCAGTGGTTCCGCCACCTGCTTTGCAAGCGCAAGGTCCCGAGTTCAATCTCCGGTACCAAAAAAAAAAAATGGAATTTTATGTATGATATTGAATATAGAAAACTTTTTTATGTGTGTGTTTGTGTATGTGTGTCCTGTATGACTGTTTTACCATTAAAATGTGTCCTGAGATCACTCAACCAAATTTTCTGGTAGGATTTTCACTTTGAAAGTATAATAAAAGGGAGATGACTTAATGACTGTTATCCCCTCTGTATTATATAGGGTATCAAGGTCTTATAATAGGAACGTTGACAGAAGTGGTTTTACATATTCATGTCCACACTGTGGAAAGACTTTTCAAAAGCCAAGCCAGTTAACACGACATATAAGGATACACACAGGTATGAAAATTGTTCACTTATATCATCTATTATATGGCTTAAGGAGAAGAAAATGTGTTTCATAATCCAATCCTGGCTTTTCTATAGTTTTGTTACACAGTCATGGTGAAGTTAGCTAACTTTTCTGTGATTTCATTTTCTTAATTGAGATATGTGGGTATTTTTCATATAGTTGTCCTAAGTATAAATGGAAAAGTACATGTAGTGCTCATAAAAAAGGACCTGATAAGGGCCAGGGATTTAGCTCAGTGGTTCCGCCACCTGCCTTGCAAACGCAAGGACCCGAGTTCGATCTCCGGTACCAAAAAAAAAAACAAAACCTGATATATGGTGTATTGTCAGTAACTGAGAGATATTATCATTATTATTGGTGTGATATTTATTTGCTCATTTAATATTTATGGAGTATTACTGTGTCAGGGATTGCACTGGACTAATGACATCTAAATTAACAAAGTGAGCCCTGAGTCTTTATATTTTATTCTAAGGATACTTTTACTAACTGGGCTGTAAAACATTAAAACAATATGAACTGTATTTCTCTATGCCTTATCTTGCTCATTCGTTAGTTTTACTTGAGTATTTGAAAGTACAGTCTTCATAGCTGAATACTTTGACATCTTATAAAACACAGTCAGTTTATAATATTGTTTTAGTAACCTATATGGTCTTCTCTAGAAAAGGACAAAGGAAAACTGCAAATATTTGTATTTGAAATTAAGATGACCCATGCTTTGTCATTTTGTTTTCTTCTATTCTCTTTTGGTTCCCTTTATAGTAACGAAGCAATGGGGTCTCATAACTATTTAGCCGGCTGCCCTGGTTTGTCAGCCAGTTCTGATTATGTTATTTGCTTTTTTCTTGTTCAGTGTTTTAATGAAATATCTCTTTGTAGAATATTGTGGAATCTTAGATGATTTTGAAGCTTGTTTATATGTCTGAAGTTGATATTTTCAGAGCATCGTCTTATATTTATTCTTAGAGCAAGAGAAGAAAGTATTGTCTTTTAAAATGTGCCATGGGCCAGGGATTTAGCTCAGTGGTTCCTTCGCCTGCCTCACAAGTGCAAGGACCCAAGTTCGATCCCCGGTACAAAAAAAAAAAAAAAAAATGTGCCAATATAGGGCTGGGGATTTAGCTCAGTGGTTCTGCTACCTGCCTCTCAAGTGCAAGGTCCCGAGCCTGGTACCAAAATAACCAAAAAAACAAAATGTGCCAGTACATTGTATTTGTACTGTTTCTATTATATTCTATTATGTACTATTCTATTACATTCTATTATATATAATACTGTTATATTCTATAAGTTCTAGCTTATTTTTTGAAGTTTTAATGAAAAATACTTTGAAAAAATAGTTTGCGTAAGGTAACATACTTTGTGCAAAGTAGAGACATATAAACAGCATAGACAATGCCCACTTTTCAGATGCTGTGCACCTTTAATAGTTTGATGTCTGCCCCTTTCAAATACAAAAATGCACACCAGTCCTAAGTATCTTCACACCTCCAGAGCTATTTCACATGCCATGTTGCATTCCTTCACATGATTTTGGGATCCACAGACTCTTCCTGACTTTGAACTTTTGAACAAATCACTGTTCTGACTGGCCTCTGAGATGCCTTGAGTGCTGGAGAGGACAGTTTTTCCAGCCACTGGTGAGGTCACACAAGCTGGCACTGTCTGAACCCAGGACAGGCTGACCTATGAGGGAAGTAACAGGGATCACCTGTGTGCCCCCGTTCAACACGTACTCCCAGTCACATGGTTCTGTGTTCTGAGCTTGGTTTTTGAATGGCTGAGCCTCACAGTGCCTGTAATAATGTGGCATGGAAGATCACTCCTTGACTATGTGTGACCCCATCCAGGCCTCATCCAGGAAAGGCTGGGTATACCTCAGGTATTACCATGTAGGACAGGGTGTCCTCACTGAGATTAGGACCCAGAGCAGACTTCCTGACTGCTTCTCTCTTCTCTCCTGCACTGCTCTCCAGTCATGACAAAAACAGACAAAAACCTCACCTTGGACCATATATTTTAGTGAGGAAAGATGTATAATAAGCAAACTGTTTAAAAGTCACTGATGATAAGTAGTATGAAGGTAATTAAGCAGAGAAAGGAGTTGGGGGGTGAGGGAGATTTTGATATTAGCTAGAATGGAATGGAAAGTCATCCCTGAGAAGGGGAGGGTGCCATGTTGACCCTTGGGGAAGCTGTCCTAGGTGGTGGTCTCAAGCGTGGACCTCCTGCTGTGTTGGGGGAACTGTGGGAGGTAGGGTAGGAAGCGGGGCAGTGCGATTTGATTTGGTGGCATTAGAGGCCCTTGGACAGCAAAGGCCTGCTCTGGCCTAATTTTTGAATGGCTTCCTCAGAGTTGAGAACAGCCCACACAAGGCTAGGGAAACAGTGCATCCATCCACTTGTGTGGATTGGCTGTGCCTTGGGCCAGGTGGGAGTTTAGATGTGGGGCAGGGCTGCCCTGGATGTATTTACGAGGCAGGATCAGTGGGGTTTGCTGATCTATGTAGTGTAGCCATGAGAGAAACCACAGAAGGGAATGACTGGCACCTGGAAGGATGGCACTGGCAGGAACACTGCCCCTGAACTTGTTTGGGAGATAGTCAAAGTATGCAGTGTGGGGCGTGTTAATTTTAAGATTTTGAGTAGACTGTTGTATATCTGAGTATAGAATTTGGGGAGCTGTTTTGGCTGGAGGAATAGGTTTGGGGATCTTGAATTTGGGTGACTAGCATTTTCTTTTTTCAATCTTAAAATGTTCATGTAATGATGATCCTTTTTCTCCCTCTCTAGGTGAAAGGCCATTTAAATGTAGTGAGTGTGGAAAAGCTTTTAACCAGAAGGGGGCGTTGCAAACCCACATGATAAAGCATACAGGTGAAAAACCCCATGCCTGTGCCTTTTGTCCTGCTGCCTTTTCTCAGAAAGGGAATCTTCAGTCCCATGTACAGAGAGTTCATTCAGAGGTAAACATAGTATTTGGGCTGTGCACAGTGTTTCATAGTATTAATGGCAAACCTGAGAAATTGTATTCCATTTTTAAAAAGTGCAGATTGAGCTGGGTGTGGTGGTACCTGTCTGTAATTCCAGTTACTTGAGAGGCTGAGGCAGGAGAATTACAAGTTAGAGGCCAACTGGATAACTTAGCTCCACCCTGACTCAAAATAAGAGAGAAAGGGCTGAGTACGAAGCTCAGTACTCGTGGGGCTCAGTCTCCCTCAATACTGGAAAAAAAAGCACAGATTGAGTTTTTTCTGACCAACCTATTTTGGAAAAAAGTATATGGGAACCTTTTTGGTTTAGTGTATGTAGAAGAAGTATATATATATTTTTGTGTTCTTAGTTTGATAAACATATATTTGAAAATAATCATACCTTTGGTAGTTCTATCAACTTGAATAATGTGTTTCATTCCTTCAAGCAGAGTTGAAATACAGACACTATCAAGTCTAAAGGCAGGAAATATGATTGAGGAAAAGAGTCTTGCGGTTGTTGTAACATTGCTAAGCTGCTCTGTGGCCTCTGTGGCATGTTGATACTACCCCTTTGGTGGAGCCTGGGTTGGGTTGTCCCCCTGTTGCATGCGTGTTTCAGCCAGGATCATTCCACAGTTCTTTGTTGTCTGCAGGTCATACTGCTATGTAGATCCTCTGGATCTGTTTCTGTTAAGCAGATTAACCTTTGTTCCTACTAACTGTCATGCTTTGGGTCTTATTTAAGTTTTAGTTACAGAATGTAAAGAAATACTTAAACATAAAAGTACTTTTATCATGGATCAATTTATTCTATGAAACTATTTTGTAAAATGAAAACTATCGTATTTTTATTTTTATTTTTTTATGTTTTTTTTTTTTTTTTTTTGGTACCGGGGATCAAACTCCGGTCCTTGCGCTTGCACAGCAGGTGACGAAACCACTGAGCTAAATCCCCAGGCCACTATCGTATTTTTAAAAGCAAACAATGTATCACTTTAATTTTTCCTTGGAGTTAAGTCTCAAGAGTCACTTAAGTGACTTTGGAATTTAAAAATCTTTATTATCTAAGACCTAGAGATAGTAGGAAGGGCATATTAATGTTGTTAAGTTACTGATACTGTGAAGTTTCATCCCAGAAGAGTACTTTTGTAAGTTATTTTTATGGAGGTGTTACTGAGGATAGACAATTGCTTGGGAATAGTTGCTTGTTTGTACAACACATAGACATCTTTCCCTGGACAGCACTGTGAGATATTGTCAGTGCTTTTACATTTACGGACTCCTTATAGCAGGTCAGGTACCTGCCTGTGCTGTGGAAGACATCCTGGGACCTGTAGTTGGATGCATTGTTCTGGAAAGGGCTTCTAAAGATTGGCTTGTAAACTTTTTTTTTTTTGAGACAAGTTCTAACTATGTAGTTCAGACTGGCCTTGAACTCATTGTATAGCCCAAGCTGGCATCGAACTCACCTTCCAAGTGCTGGGATTACAGGTGTACACCACCTGATTTGTAAATATTATCCAATCCTGCCAGGTAGCTAAAGCTTTAAATTTGGTTGATAAGAAAGTGTTAGAAATAGAATGGAAATATTATTCAAGTTTAGAAAGCACTAGTGAGTTTTTAAACTAGACTTCATAACTGCAATGATTACTAAAGTTGAGTTTGAGTAATGGAATAGTTTGGACATTTATTCTGTTTATAAATGCTCTTACTCATTTTATTCTCTCTAGAGTCTGCTTTTGGCTTCATTGTAGTTTTAAAAATTAGCCATTGATAAGAAGTATCAGAATTGAGGATGGAAAATTTACATGTAGTATGACCATCCTTCTCAACCTGCATGTTAGGCCCCTGAAAGGTAAATATTTATAAATAACTGTCTAGTTTTTATTATTGAACATAATATTTAACCACGTAAGAAACTGAGAACATGTGCCAGACATTTTAGTTTTTATTAAATCACAATAACTAAAAGATGTTTTTTCCCTCCAGAGCCATTTCTTTTTCCCCTTTGGTGCTGGTGATTGAACCCAGGGCCTTTGCACTGAGCTACATCCCCAGGCCTTTTATTTAAGTTGTCCAGGCTGAGTTTGAACTTGTGCTTCTTCTATCTTAGCCTCCCAGATTATTGGTATTATAGGTGTGTGCCACCATGCAGAGCTGAGCCATTTCCTTTTTATAGAAAAAATTGTGAAATTTCAATTAATCTTATACTAGCAATATTTATTAAATGAGTTATTGATTCTAGAGCTGTCTAATGTAAAAGAAAAAAATTAATTTTGAAGGCTAGGTTGTTTCATTTGAATGGAATGGTAAAACAGTTGCTGTAATTTGTGTTTAATAATTGTAAAGAAATAACTTTTTTTTTATTCTTTAAGGTCAAGAATGGTCCTACCTATAATTGTACAGAATGTAGTTGTGTATTTAAAAGCTTAGGTAGCTTAAATACTCATATCAGCAAGATGCATATGGGTGGCCCCCCTAATTCCACAAGTTCTACGGAGACTGCACATGTTATAACAGTAAGTATAGTATTTTGGTTTTTAAAAGGAGTTTTAAAAACTAAAATCTGTCACTTAAAATATGATCTTTAAAATTAAATATTTAGTACCAAAAAGGTACTATGAAATTTTTCTATAAAGACAAAGTGTTACTTTTTTTTTTTTAACTTTTTTTTAATTAATGAAAGAAAGCCAGAGCCAGTCCTTTTTTTTTTTTTTTTTTCGGTGCCAGGGATGGAACTCAGGACCTTGTGCTTGCAAGGCAGGCATGGTGTCACTGAGCTAACTCCCTGGCCCAGAAAGCCAGTCTTTTAAAATTTTAGAATAATGGTAGATGATCCTGACTTGTGGACTGTCATCTGAACCTATAAAAATAAGATGAGGTATAATCATTAATTTATGAAATTATAATTCTTGCAGTGTTACTGATGAATATTGAATATTCTTTAACTTTACATTGTAATTTAAGAGTTAATTAGCTTTTTTAGGTAATATTTCTTATTTTCTAATGTAGCAGTGGTAATTGTTTCAAAGTTTTGGATTTTTGGGACACTAGATTGTATTTTTCAGTATATATATTTAGAAATTGTATGACTAAACTCCTATGTTGCACATGCACACATGCACACACACACCCCACATAGAGATACACATGTGTGCAAACACATTTTGTTCTTTTTTTTTTGCCTAGGATTCCATAGCTTAGCCTTAATCAGTAACTTCTATATCACTTCCTCATCCGATAAATTTAGGATGTGGTATTATAAAAGCACCAGTAGAAGTTTTCATGTGTCTGTGTGAGAAGAGTTAGTGGTAGTTTGTGTTTAAGCTAACAGCCACCTCTAACAATATGACAGGCTAGTTAGTGTTTGGTTTTTAAATGTGAGATTCATTTTTAGTGATTTTTTTTTTTTTTCTTTTCTCACAATATTGCAGCTTGGGATAATTCCTCAGTTTATCCTTGATTAGGGAGAATGTTGTAAAACAAAACTGAAGAATAGAATCTATAGTTAAGTCTGGAAAAATTTATTTTAGACTTAATTTAAAAAAAAATTATTCCAGAGTTTAAATCAACTAAATATTAATGAGTTTTCACCATTTCCTTTGGCAGTATGCAAATTAAAATACTGTATAGAGGTAATAAATAACCTGGAATAATAATCCAGATCATATTTTAAATTTTATATTCTTTTTTTTGGGTACCAGGGATCGAACTCAGGACCTTGATCTTGCGAGGCAGGCGCTGGAACCACTGAGTTAAATCCCCAGCCCCTAAATTTTATATTCTTCAGAACTTTTTTTTTTTTTTGGTACTGAGGATCGAACTCAAGACTTTGCACTTGCGAGGCAGGCGCCAGAACCACTGAGCTAAATCCCTGGCAAATTTTATATTCTTAATAAAAATCAGAAATTGTAGTTTAGGGATTTAGAGTCCTGGAGTCAACCTGATATTTTACCGTAGTCATCACTGAGCTGCACTCCCAGTTTTTTTGTTTTTTTTTTTTGAGACAGGGTCTTCATAAATTGCCCAGGTTTATCTTCAATTTTCTTTTTTAAAAATTAATTTTATTGATATACTTTTGATTTACATAAAGATCACATTCATCATAGGGAATTTGAACCTCTGTATTTCTTGATTCTTCTTTTTTTCCTCATTCCCCTCCCCTCTCTTCTGGCCTTAAACTTTGAATCCTCTTGTCTCAGCCTCTTGAGGAGCTAGGATTATAGGTGTGCTACCATGCCCAGCTAAGTTCCATATATTCTTTTAGAACTGTCTAGGAACTAATATTCAGCCCCACGGTTGATTCTACATGTCTCTTATTTTGCTTTTTACACTTTCTCTTTCTTATCCTATTTATGCCTATTACTTTTAAGAGGTTCCTTTAGTTTTATTGTGTAATTCTTTTTGATATTTTCTTTTGTAGTAAGATTTTAAATTTTTTTTTTTTTTTATACTGGGGATTGAACTCGGGACCTGGTGCTTGTGAGGCAGGCGGCAGAACCACTGAGCTAAATCCCTGGCCCCAAGATTTTAATTTTGGAGAGATATGTTACGATCTGAGTTTTCATTTTTCAAAGACAATTAATTAGCATTTTCTTTTAAAAAGTTTTCTGTTGATTGTGCCATATGCCTTAGTAGTCTCCCTCTTCTCTCCCTCTTTACCTCTAATCTTTGGTTGCTTTTTGTGTTTCAGAAGAGGCAGCAGTGAGCCTCTGGGTGTGAGCTTTCTAGGAATAGATGGTCGGACCACTTAGCCTGTGAGTGGCTAGGGAACCTAGTCTTCCCTGTGGGGGACCTGGTGGCAGAACACAAAAGATCTCACTCTGTGGAACTAAGTGCCACAAAAGGTGCACAGGTTCTCCCCAATAGCTTATTCTTTTTATTTTGATAGAGGCAGGCTCTCATTTTTTAAACCTCAAGGTACCTAATTGCCACTTGTTCTATGAGGATGGCAAGGAGGTTATTTATATTTTTTAATGAGTAGACTTAATTTTAGAAAATTTGAGCATAAAGTACAGAGATTCCCCCCATTCTCCCTATTATTAACACTTTATATTGGTGTGGTATATTTGTTACAATTGGTGAATAAATATGGATATATTAATTATTAACAAATCCATAGTTCACAAGAGGGCTCACCCTCAGTGTTGCATATTTTGTATCATTGGATAGATGTGTCCACTTCTGTAGTACCAGGAGGAACACTTTTACTGTTCTCATGACCTTTTGAATATGGCATTTCTGATCCCTTGGCTTCTGCAGGAATCAGGTTGGCTTCTTCTTCCAGCACAGCCCTGCCTTAAATTTTCTTGGAGTAGATTTATTCTTCAAGTTGTCTGTTTTTCAAAAATGCATTGAGTTTTTTTGAACACTCTGGTTTTATTAATTTTTCTTTTTGTAACTTTATGCTTTTTAAATCCATTCAGTTCATTTTAATGGGTGAATAGGAGAATGAGGGTTAATGTGCTCAATCTGCCACCTTGAATTGAGTCTCTACATAAAAACTTTTAGAAAGTCAAAGTAGAATAGTTCATTGAGCGTGCTCTTTTAAGAGCCAGTTTGTGCCTACTACAAGAATCAGTGAGGCATTGAACTGATTTGTTTCTCATTGCACTGATAAAGATTATATTTCTAATGAAAATGTTACTGTGTTCCAGGCCACACTCTTTCAGACCTTACCTCTTCAGCAGACAGAAGCCCAGGGCCCCTCAGCCTCAAGTCAGCAGAATTCTCAGGCAGTGACTGATGTCATCCAGCAACTCTTGGAACTCTCAGAGCCAGGACCTGTGGAGTCACAGCAGTCACCGCAGCCCGGGCAGCAACTAAGTATCACAGTGGGCATCAACCAGGACATTCTACAGGTGAAGCACGTTTAACTGCTGGTGTGAGGCTTTCACACTTGTGCTTGGGCAGAAACCAGGAGTAGTAGTTGAAAGGTTTTACAGGCCTTGTCTGAGTGAAAGTGTTTTGATTTAAAATGTGTTTGTATTGAAAAAGATATATAGTGAAACAAAATTTGCTTTTTGAATTAGCTATGGGCAGTACAGAATTCTAAGTGATTCATTAATCTATGCATTTAAAAAACTGAAAGCCCTCTTTTTACTCTTAAGTGAACTTGTACTTGTCAGAGTAGATTTTTAGAACTTATATCCATTCCCCTTGAGAGATACGGCGGAGGGCCGGGGATTTGGATCAGTGGTTCTGCCCCGTCTTGAGAGATATGGTGGAAGTATTTTATTCTTGAGGTTCTAGTATATTATTTGAGACAGTCATAGGCATTTATAATACAGAGGGCTTTGTAACTGGGTTTGTTACTGTGAAAATGGCCCAAGCACACATGGGAGAAGAGAAGGAAGGGAGCAGAGGGAGCCTTTCACTCCTAGTCCAGCATTATATTTCACAGAAATTCCTCACTTCCACAGAGGTGGCCTTCCTCCTCTTCTTGGTCTCTGTTTATTTAAACCAACCTCTCATTGGGCATGGTGGCACACAGCTACAGTTCCAGCATTCTGGGAGGCTGTGGCAGGAGGATTGCAAGTTCAAGCCCAGCTGGGCAACTTGGTGTCCTAGTGACACCTTGTCTGAAAATAAAAAAATAAAAATGGAACTGGAGATGTAACTCAGTGTGCAGGATTCAATCCCTGGATTCAATCCCCAGTACCACGTAAACAAACAAATCTTTCCCCAGAACCTCATGGTAAGAAGCTGACCAGTAGTATAACGAAAAGCTCAGGATGTCAGGTCACAGCCAGAGTCTTAAAAGTTAACCCTGTGTAAATTATTCCATAAGATAGTCCCAAATCTGTTCAGACACAACCTAAATTGTCTGAGGTAAGATTTCAGAAAGTTGATTGATTAATTTTAATTCCCTTTAATTGAGAAACATAATTGCTTCTCATATTGTATTTTGGGTGGGGGATTAGATATCAGGCATCTAAAGGGACATTACAGCCTTAAGGAGCTACATTGATAAATGATCGCTTGGAATGGTAGGATGTGTTTCTTGAAGTGAAGTTAGAATTCTGCGGGTAAAGCTTTATGGCATCTTGGGATTAATGATGGTAGGCAGATGTGGGTTGTTGCCTCTTCTAACCTCTTAGTTTTGTTCTGTCTCAGCAAGCCTTAGAAAACAGTGGGCTGTCTTCACTTCCAGTTGCAGCACCTCCCAGCGACTGCAGCCACACCAAGGCATCCACAGCACCAACTCAGAGTCCAGACACCTCCAGTGTTTCCACCGAGCAAGGTGACCCTTCCGATGCAGGGCAGGATAAAGGGCAGGAAAGCCCCGAGAAGTTGGATAAAAAAGAGAAAAAAGTGATAAAGAAGAAGTCACCATTTCTACCAGGTAATTTAGCATGCTTTGTCCTTCAGACATCTTCAATAGCATATGCTCGTGTTTAAGAAGTGTGCCCCCTTCCTCTCCTCCTAAAGTGACATATTTGTGGCATATCTTATACTATAATCTTAACTATAGTTGATGTATTGAAAGTGAAAGAGGATAGCACCTGTGAAACTTGTTGGCTATACCTCTTGGTTCCTTAGTGATCTTCTTTCCTTTCGTTAGTTTATCATTTGGTCCCCAACTTCAAACCTGCAGCTGTTTTTGTTCTCTGTGCTAGCTCCAGGTACCTCTCAGAGTTTTAGATCCATCACTCCCTTCAGTTTCTGCATCCACTGTCTTTTGCCTCAGGGCTCCTTTGCCTTGGTCTCCTGATGAGCTCTTCCTGCTTATTCCTCTTGGTTGCTGCCACTTGCCAGCTCCCGGCCCCACTCTGCCTGAATCCCTACTCCTGTCCCATTCCATGCCTGCCTCTTTTTGGCTTTAGATCCACCATCACTCATCTCAACCTGTGCTGCAGGCTTCCCTCAACTCTTCTGTGGGATACAGTCTTACTTTATAGTAAAGCTGTATTTGCCATTTTTCACATTCCTGCATTTTCTAGACATCATGGTTTATGAGGCTGTTGGCACTGCATATCTTCCTTATGCTTTCCAGTGCTCTCTGTCCAAATTGGTGATCCCTTGAGTCCAGCCTCAATGCTGTCTGGCCTGGAATGGATTCTGTTTGTGTCTGAACTCCCTAGTGCTCAGCATGGCTCTTGCATAGGTGTAGGCATTTACCAAGAGAGCGTGTCTTTTGGGTGGAGTGTTCCTGTATTGTACAAGCCTCTTCCAGATGTCCTGGGGTATGTGTGCTTTCTCCCTGTAAAGCATGAGGCTACATTGCCATGTCTGTTGGCACTTCTTTTCTAAACATAATTTTATACATGGATAATGTGATTGAGAAGTCTTTGTTTTTCATGCCATACAACATTAGTCCTCTGTTCCCCTTGATCTGGCTCTCTGCTGTCTAAGTGGAAAACAAGTTTCCTGGTCTCCAATGTTTCTTTCTTTTTTTTTTCCATTGAAATTTTTATTTCTTTCCTTTTTTTTCAGTGTTTCTTGGTTTTGGGGCTTTGGGCAAGGGGTTAGCTGTATCATAGTCTTACAGGCTGCAGATGTTCACACGCTCTTAATAAAGTATTGAAAATATACATATGAGTTACTGCTTGCTCTTGTCTAGTTACTGTGCTAAATTGAAGATGCTCTAACCTGGCTGCAGGCCACTAAGTGGAGATCAGCTTTCCTCAGGCAAAAGGCCCGATTTCCCTTCCTGAAAATGCTAAGTAGCAAGTGCCCTTAAACTGAGATGGCACCTTTATCTGAGATGCCTTTCCAGGTACTGGAAATAGCTTTCTTCCCTGCATCATCTGGGACTTCCTGTAGTGTTGATAGGGAATGTTGTGCTTAAAGACTTGGTAAAATTTACCTAATTCCCAATTACTTGAGTATATTCCATACATGTAGTACTGAGGGAGTGTGTGCCATTCTAGTAATTTTAGAGTAGATATGGTCCTTAGTACAATTTGGAGCTAGTGCCCTTTCTCTTTTTTGTTTTTGATTTCACTGATGCTATGGCAGGAAAATTACTGGGGACATATTTCTACATAGATTAGAATGTAATCATGTTAGGACTTCTAGTGATCATGAGAAAACTGTTCTTGTCAGTCATAACACTTTCTTCATAGCTTAGAATTAACCTTGATTAGATTCCAAGGTTGATCTTAATCTTCCTTGCAAAGTTACTGTTCTTAGATTTGTTAAGTTTTGTCAGTGATTGTTTGTTGGAATTTACTTTATTAAGAAGTGTGCATATTAACTGAAAATGTAACCTGTTTTTATGATTATCATACAACCCATGACAGATAAATCGTTGTGAACTTTTAGTTAAGTTTGAAGTTTGTTAGGTGAAATATGGCAATCTAGAAATAATGGTGAAACCTGATTATTTATTCCTTCAGGTGTAAAAATGATATGCTGCAATTATTTTGTGTGGAATCCTTTATCAAAGCATTTTTCACACTTGATCTTTTAGACTAGAGGAAAGTCTCGGTAACTGTTTCTTGGTGACCTAGGAATGTTGCCATGAACTTTGGTTATTGTGCTGTGCTATAAGAGGCTGGTATCCTTTGATCTCACAATGTATCAGCTCCAGGATGGTGCAATACTTTGTTTCACCTGTTTTAAAAAATAGTGGTCCTCAGCTATCCAAGGGTGGTCTGGTTTCAGGATCCTGTGGATACCAAAGTCCTAGGATACTGAAGTCCCTTATATACAATACGTGTAGTCTACTATTTGCATATGACTACACACATCCTCCTGCCTAGTTTAAATTAACTTTAGATTATTTATAGTATCTAATACAATGTACATGTTTTATAAAAAGTTGTGCTCTGTTGTTTAGGGAATAATGACACCGTGTGTATGTGTGTGTGTGTGTGTGTGTGTGTGTGCGCGCGTGTGTGTGTATATATAGGTATGTATTCAGTTTAGGTATAATACTCAAATATTTTTGTGTGCTCTCCATCCAAGAGGTAACTGTGTATTTACTACTCCTTGCATGATGTTTTCCTGAACTAGCCCTTCCTCCACTAAGTGTATGTGTAGTTCTGGGCTCTCAGTTCTATTCCAACTACCTGTTCCTTTGTGTTAAAGTTAATACTGTATTATCCCTGTTATTTTATAATAACTCTTAAATTGTGATAGATTTTTCATTCTCTGTAGAATTAACTTAAGTCTCTAGAAAAATTTGTGTCTTTGAAATATAGCATCTTTTATATGCATTTTCTTTCTGTTGATATCTTTTGTGCTTGCAAATCTTCTGTTAGACTTACTCTTTTACCTTCTTTATTTAGTTGCTATGAACTATCTGTAAGTTTCATTTCCTGTTTGTTGTTGGTGTGTAGAAAAGAATTTATGTTTGTGTATTCAGTGTGAGTCCTGCAACCTCCTTAACTTCTATTATTAATTGTAGCAATTTGTAGATGATTTTGGGTTTTCGATGTAGACATCTGTATAAGAACAATGACAATTTCTTTATTCTTACTATATTTGCTTGGGCTTCTCATGTGGTATTATGTAGAGGTACTGACAGGTTCCTTCTCAGTTTTTAAAGAGGATGATTTAGTGTTTGATAATTGAGCCTAGATTTTTATGTTTCTCATAAATACCTTTCAGATTTAAGGAGTTTGTTTTCATAGTTTGCCAAGAGGTGTTTTTTTCTTTTTAACCATGTTGAACATTATCAAATGCCTTGTTTTCCTCTGTGTGTGATCATATTATTTTTAATCTGTAATGTAAATTAAAGTAATTGATTATTTTTTGTTACTATTTTTAAGAAATTTTTCTTTTCCTGGTCACTAATTGCAATCTTATCTTCTATATCTGAAATTCTGACCTCACATTGGCTCATTCTGTTGTGTAAAACTTTCAATGAAGTTTTTAATGTCCTAGAAATCTGTTTCCATCTGTTTTATGGATTCCATTTGTTTCCTATGTTGAAATTCCATCGTGTTCCTCAGCTCCTCTATTTTTTTATCTATGTCCTTTCTAGATTTATTAATCATGTCTTGCACTATGGGCACAATCTCTGTTATCTGAGAAATTATTTCTGATTTCATTTTTTCCTGATCCTCTTTCATTGCCAGTTCAGGGAGTCCAGGTGGTTGAGTATCAGATTGTTCCATCTCTTTGCCCTTTGGGGTTGCCTTAGGTGATCTGGAAGTCTGGTTTTGAGACTTGTTTATGTGTCTTCTCATTTCGACAGAGGCAGCCTGCTGCGCCTTTGTTCACTTTTGGTGACTTTTTGCTCACCCAGGGGTCTTCAATTCTCAGCAAGCCACAGAGACACCTTTTCTCTGCTGCTCAACCCTGCACCAATTCCTGAGTTCAGAATGGTGGCCTTCTGGATTCCTTCACTGTCCTGTTGTCTGGGTGGGGTTCTGGCTGGGGCCTGTGCACACTTGGGATGGTATCTGCATGTGCCTCTGGCTAGGGCCTGTCCTTCTATGCAGCTGTTGTTTGGGAAGGCCTTTGGCTGGGGGCTGTGCACCCCAGTTGCTGGTTTCTTAGCAGGCTTCTGGCTAGGGTCTGTGCACACTGACCAGTGGTATTCGGGTGGGCCTCTGGCTTTTGCTTATGCACCTGTACAGCTCTTTTCCAACTGGGTCTTTGGCTGGGGCCTGTGGGCCCAAGCAGCCAGAGTTGGGGTGGGGCCCTGGCTAGACCTGCCTGGAGCTGTGCTGCTCTGGTCCACACTGGCCTCTCATTGGGATCTGCATGCACTTACCTGATTATTTTTTCTTATTCTTTTTTTTCTCTTTTGTGGTGCTGGGGATTGAACTCAGGACCTTGCACTTGCCAGGCAGGCACAGTGCCACTGACCTACAACCCTAGCCCTAAAGTAGTTGATTATTAATTTTAAAAAAACATGCATTTCATGTAGAGTGTGATCTTTTTTCTTTTTCTTCTCTTTTTGTTGTTTGTTTTTTCTTTATAACACGTTGCTGGATTTGCCATTTTGTTTTGCTTTGTTTTTTAAGATTTTACCACAGTTGATACTGAGTGAGTTATTTAGTGGCACCAGAAGCTGCTTTTAAATCAATTTATCAAATTTATTCTGTTGTAGAATATAATTGACATTAAAACAATTTTTAAAAATATGATTGCTATTCACAAATAGTTTTGATATATACTACCTACCCTTGTGTCTGCACACATAAAAGAAAATAAAACCTTCCAAACATATTATTTTAATTTTTTATTAAAATATGGTTGCTATTTTCTGTTGCTATTGTCTTTATAAAGGACTTTACTTAAAATTTCAAATAAAGAAATTGAGGTGATCTTGCTATGTCTTTTAACACCATTTTTAGAAGCAACTTCTCTTGTTCATCCTGCATTTAGGGAAACTCATGCATTTTACAGACTACTTCTAATGAATATACTGCTGTATGCTCAAAGAAA